GCTACAGGTCCACTCCATTGATCTTTATAAAGAAATTGTGCAAAAAAATTCTATTATAGATTATTTTGGAAATGTCTATGTTCAAGAGCCATTCGCTCCACAATAGCGCATTGTTTGATTACCTTACCTGCATATTAAACCTATGCTGAAGACTACAAATTCACTCAGAAGTTTAAAAAATTGAGTTGCATGGTCTAGCTCCAGATAAGATCTTATTTTTGAATATGAAGTGCTATGCTCCAGGTTCGGGGAGGATATGTATGAGGCTCAATTTTCCCATAATACTCCGGAGCTCCTTCAGGTAGTTGGTAAAAATGAAAATGAGATCGTCAAGCCATTTATCGTACTTCCAAAAACCAGCTTGAATCAACAAAAAAATAGAAATAATTACTCTTCCTCTGGTCCACTCACCAACCGCGCCATTAGGTTTACGCGGCTTGCGACAGAATCCCCAAGAACTACCACCCTAAACCCGTCTGGGAGGATAAAAACTCTGACCAGGACCCTACTGCTAGCAGCTATTACTTTTTATCCGGAAATTACGATCCCCTCGTGAATCATTTTTGTCTAGGTACGTTTTCCCTAGTGCCAACCGCTCTTGATTGATTGACTGTACTGAGTCTGCCTCTACATCTGTCTGCATCACAATTCAAAACTAAGATCATTGAGCACTTTTGCAAAGTGGTCTGAAGAACTCTACCCCCTAGAATTCTAATTGGAGAGTTGCTCAGTTGCTTAGGTGATTATCTGCTCTGATAATATGATATAATACAATATGATATGACATGATATGATATGATATGATATGATATATGATATGATATGATATGATATGATATGATATGATATGATATGATATTTGATATGATACGTCAACTAAGTAAATAATTAAACAATGTTAACGTCTCCATAAGCTGTTGAACGGACCAAATATTCGCCCAGAGGTCGCTACACTCTTGGGCAACACTAGAATGCGAAAGGACCATACAGCTGGGATCATTCAGTTCGCCCTTTTAGCCCTGATGACTTAACCTCCTTGCTTTCCCATTTCTACTATATAATTCCCTATTTATCATTATGCATTCGGCATTGCTCTGACATGTACTAAATCCCGCATGCTCATTCAACGTCGAAGAGGCTTATAAGAGCCTTTCAAGCACCGTCGGCCATCACGGACCCTGCCCGATTCCCTCGAAATGAATGCAAATCTTCGATTTCTCTTTGAATCCTATTGCATAATGGAATTTTATTCCAATTTTTGCAAAAACTGTTCAATGCTCCTTCCACCCCACGACCTCTCGCTGAACTTTGGAGGGTGGCGGCATGCCTAGTGGTTCCTGAACCTAAAGGTCCGTAAGGCCGTCGGATTTTGTTTTTAGAGCAAATCTCATGTTATACAGTTTACGCCCATCCCACAAGAAGTTCTACTAAGTAAATCTTAATATAGTACGATGGAATTCAGTTTGATGGAACACAAATCTAAAAAAGTCAATCCACCT